TTCCAAGACGGACTTACCGGCTCCGCATGGGGTGACTGGGCCAACTACACGGACTCCCCTCTCCGTGCCTTTGAAGGAACCCCGGGCTGACTGGCAACATCTTTGATTGTATCAGCTGGCAAGCATCATAGCTAATCATAACGCGTCGTAGCGTCGCTCCAGCCGCAAATGAGTCTGAGCGTGCACTACGGAGTTACATTCCACAGAATCGATGTGTGTCAGTTTCGACCTTTCCGCATGGCGATGCAGCTTACCCCCTGCAAGGAGAGCTGGGTGTGCAGGCACCTGTGGGATTTTGGGATCCCCTTGGCCTTTCCGCCGATGGCGACATGGACACGTTCAAGCGACGAAGGGCCGTCGAGCTGAAGCACGGACGCATCTGCCGCTTGGCGCGATGAGCCGAACCTCAGGGTGAGGGCTGATGGAGTCTATATAAAAGTCTGAATAACGACCTATATTATTGCTTTAGGGCTCCTCGTTAGAAGTTCACTAAAAAGGAGCCCAAAGCCTATTCTAATTGTTAAGGCCCCTACAGTGGACGAGGCTGATCGCAAAGAGTGGGAGCTTGCGGATAGTCCCGGTCATGCTGGCAGCACTAGCTTAGGCATGTTGGCTTGCACCGGCTACATCATCCCGGAGTACTTCAGATGGCCGGGATTCCTGTGCCTCGACTTTGCTCTTTTTCGGGCATGGACTGGAGAGTCCTGTCGGCCGGAGGTTGTTGGGGGGGCTTGGGGCTTCTGGGTTTCAGGGCTTTTGGGGCTGTCTAGGGCCGAAGCCCTCAGCCCAATTGGGTTTAGGATAAGGAATCTCTTGATTACTAACATGATATAGCAGCTATAAGAAAGCCCTCATGAACCCCCGAACCCTATTCGTTCATAGTGCAGCCCACCGGTATGATAGACACATCGTGTACTCGTCTATCTATCTCTCGATCAGTTTGTATACATTATATATATATATATACATACATACATACATACATACATACATACATACATACATATATATATATATACACATATTATACTCGTACCGTTGTAGATATATGCTTGAGTTTCGAAATCTGAGGTCCCCAGAGAAGGGCCTCAAGTTCAGCGAGATGCCACACGGAATTGCAGCGATTTCCAAGGCCCCAAACCCACGACTCTTTATACAACGACCATAACCCCTAAACCCCTAAAGCCCTAAACCCTAAGCTCCTGAACCCTACACTCACAACCCTAAACCCCCTAAGCCCTGAACCCCTAA